AGTACTTAGGGAGGACCCTCTAACTCTTGTAAAGCTACGAGCTTATCACATCATATACTTGACGGAATTTTTGATGTTCTTCCTCGGCTATAATTATCCGTAGTTACTTATTTCCATGCCCTTGTGCTTGTAGGGTTGCTCTTGAACTGAAGTTTTGACTGTCTTCCCAGTGAGACTATCTTCTATTTCCATAACATTCATACGGTACCTTTAACTACCCAACTCTTATCTGAATATTTCTCAAGGGTCACGATGTTGTATATGCGAGACTGAATTCCTATGTTGGGGTTCACTATGTTTATCTTGCACGATCTATTGATTTGTCTGTAACCTCTTGTCTAGCCATAACCAGACTCTTCCTGAATCAACTACTAACTGCTCGTTGGTCCATTCTCATATTTGTATTCTGCGTAATCCCTCTTGGGTTATTCCCTTTGTCTTAAGTTACGTTTCGCACTGGCTCCTTATTTATTAATAACATCTCAGGTAGGAATCCTTACTTCCTCTCCTTGACGTCGTGTTTGCATAATGTTCTGGAATCGTAGCATATCGGTAGGATTTGAATAAGTGCAATCTTATCCCTTTCTCATTTTTATCGCATTCTTCCTTTACCATTCCATAGTTACTAGAACCACTAAATTCTGATTAATGCCACATCACTCCATATTCCCCCCTTTAGGGGAGTACTAAGATTTAGTGCTACGATGATCTACGTATAGATGTTTTACCTCTTCATCTTTGGCGTCTTTCCACATCATCGATGATCCTTAACCGCCTCTCGATAATCCTTTTGTTACCAAGGAAAACGAAATTCCTTACTCGCCAGGGTGACACTTAGTGTAACTGGCACATACAATCCCTTAAGCTTAACTTTGCTCACCTTACTTGCTTTAGGGAAGCGTCTTCCTAAATGACCTTTAAAGGGTATTCTTCTGTCGTCCATTCTATTATCATCGGGATGCAATCTCTGAAATTCTCATGATGCCGACTATTATCAAATCACGCAGTCCCCAATTCATGTTTAGTTTATCTTGTTCACCAGCCCATACTGATTTCTATTATTCTGGGGTCTAACTTTTCCTTCCAGTAGTCATGTTGGAGTCACGAACTTATTTCTCGAAATGAGGATATGACTTTATGGCCTATACTCTTTTGTTATCTCAAGGCCTGTCACCTCTCGTATTTTCCTTCACTTGACTATAGACTCTGTAATACTATCATTTTCTTGATCTACCCTTGCCATCTATGTATCATATCTTACTCATAATGCTTCATTAATCCTCTGCTTATTTTCCTGCTAACATTTCTGTCTATCACTTTATTCTGAAAACTTCAACAAGATATTCTTTTGCTTTTATCTCCCCCTGCTCCATCTACTGGCTCTTCAGGTTGCCTAACATTCTCTCTCTACTAGGGACGGGAGCCACANCATGACAAACGAGCCTATAAAGCCAACATGATCATTTATAAACTCAAAACATAGGCCGACAAGGCCATACAAATACCCGTACACATGACATCTGTCTATANTCTTCCAGTGCCTATCTTTGCAGTACTCATATCTAGCTGTACTATTTTAGAGCGCACCATCTGGGTGTCTCACAAGGAGATCTATTAGCACATTCGCAATATCCTTCGGAATGTTAGTTAACGCTAACAATCCATCCAACATTTTGGGTTACTTTAACTCCAGTTGGATCCTGATATCCCGTCCTTCTCTTAAACTATATCTGTTGGCTCCCATAGATCATAACTGAGATGGGTGTCACTAATTGTACATACCTCTGTTACAATTGAAGGTAACTCAAAAATGCTTATATTTCTCTGCTTGAATTGTAAATATTGTTAATCTTCATTAACTGGGTACCATGTATCCTTCTTCACCTTGCTTTTTTTACTTGCTGAAACTTGTGTCTACCTTCCGATTCTCTTATTCCTTTTTACAGTAAGAGTGGACAGACATTCTTGCCTTAGGGATCCTTATCAAGAAGCTTACACGTTTTAGTACACACATGATCTGCTGAATACCTCATATTTATCCATCATAAGCATGATGCAAAAATCGAGTTCCTCTGACTCAACTCTTCCGCAACTATATCTCTTACCAACCGTCTTCCTGGATGCAGGCATCGTCGTATTATGAATAAGATAGAGTTTAGGAAATTGAGTTCTTACAACTGAGCTCTACCACACGATCTAGAGTAAGAAAAAAGAGTGACAGTCCTAAATGCCCTGTAGCCTCCTGCTTATAAGTGTAGTGCACAACACACCCATAAACAAGACTCTACTAAACACGGCTTGTAGACTCCCTAGGACAAAACTGCTCTAATACCACTTTTGTCATGACCCAAACCGATGGGCCGCGACGGGCACCCGGTACTTTACTCAATCGAGTACCAACATAACGTATCTTTCTTATTACATCATCATAGGTAAGTGGGCCAGAAGGGACGTCATGAGATAAACAGAGTAAACATGAGGGAATTACCCGACATAGAACGACCCAACCTGATATACATGACAAACGAGCCTATAAAGCCAACATGATCATTTATAAACTCAAAACATAGGCCGACAAGGCCATACAAATACCCGTACACATGACATCTGTCTATAAGCCTCTAAGAATACATAATTGTCATAAAGGTCGGGACAAATCTCCGCCATGCCAATCAATACATGTCCTAATGATACTGACCAAATAGCAACTCCGGAGCAAATGGAGCGCACCAACATCTTCCGTCGAGCTGATAGCCTACTTGGAGGGCTCTCAACCTGTCTATCGGGACCTGCGGGCATAAAACGCAGCGTCCCCAGGCAAAGGGACGTCAGTACAAATAATGTACCGAGTATGTAAGGAATGAAAATCAGTAAATAATAGACATGAGAGAAACATGGAGTAAAAGACTCAACATGTAAGTCTGAATAACTCTGTGAATCATTAATATTTACAATGCATATGCGTATAAATATCATACCATGTATAGGTATAAGCGTTCATAACATCATCAAGCCTCTGAAGGCATCCCATCATATCATCTCGGCTACTATGGGCAAATCATCAACGTATACTAGCTGATCAGGTGGTGGTGCGTATATAACGTCGTAACTTTTTTCTATATCCCATATACATATAATATACGAGTATATAACGTCATCTGGTCATGAGTCAATGCACATGTATAAATGCATAAAATGCATAAGAAATATATTAATAAGATTTCTCGGAATGTCATAAAATCAATATGCCTTTCGGATAAACTTTATCAAATACGTATTTTTCTGAGACCCATGAACAGAAGATATAATAATAATTCACATGGGAAATCAAGAATATAGACACCCCTAGTACTTCTATGAAAGAGTCATTTATGAAAATTGTGCATTTGTTCGTTTCGTTTGTATCGTATTGATCATGCCAAAAAGAAAGAAGGGATAGCCTTAACATACCTGAGTTGATTCTCTTGACAATCCATCTAACATACGTCAATTGCGAAAAATCACGTAACGGTGGATCGAAATAGGAAAAAATCCGTATGATATTTTTGATATCATAGCACTTTATTTCTTATCCTACTAATGTTCACTCTATTGAAAGATAACATTTGAAATGACGAATAACCATTAAACCCGTTAATCACCAATGTTGCTGGTCTAAGTTCTAAAGTGGCAAGCATGTCATAATTTCATTCTTATTTTCCAAGTTATATTATCAATAAAGAGACCAAGAAAAGTTTCCAAGAATTCTTACGTTTAACCAAGGCATTTTATGCAAGCATGCCATAACTTCATTCTTATTTTTCAAGTTATATTATCAATAAAGTGACCAAGCAAAGGTTCATTCTTACGTGTAACCAAGGCATTTTATGTCTTAATGACTCATCATGTATATTGGTGCCACTTTGGCTTAGCTTAATGCCAAGTGACAGCCCCAAAAAGATCCTTATCTACTTAATCATAATTATCCCCACAATTAATCAATTATCCACATAATTAAGAATTATCTCAAATTAATTAAAATACTACTCACTTTTAATATACCTTATACATCTCACTATCATGGTCATGTGGTACCTTGTATGGCACAAGTCTATATATACGGGGCATTGTAGCTTGGACCGTATTTTATCTCAAAATGACAAACTTCGACGAAACTCATCTTTTTCGATTTGCTTACCCTCTCACCTTCAGGAATTTACTTATCACTTGTTTGAAATAACGTAATACTTATAATCCCAAAATAATCTCATTCCCGAACTTACGTCAATTAACTTATGACAAAACTTTAACGTATGAAAATGCGGAATGTAACATCTCATTTCCGAGCTTACATCAATTTACTTATAGCGTACTTCCACGTATGGAAACATGGAGTGTAACACCTTAAGCATCATAATTTAACACTACAAGCATCCTAACTTTCACTTCTTTCATTTCATTTAAATATGCAACCAACTTGGCTTTGTCTTGATGATGAACTAAAGAAAGGGTGGTCAAAGACATGACCTTTGCTTTTCTTAACATTTCGTCTTAGAATTTCCTGTTGTGAAAGATGAGACTGTTGAATATACTATGTACCTAAACTTCAATAGGACCATCACAATCTAACAGCAGAATTTTGGAAAGATTTCACATTCGCACACCATCTGAATTACTAAACGGCAACACTGTAAAAATAAATTATTGTACCCTTTTTGCTTTCAAGTACAAAGAATTATTTTAAAGGTTCATCCCGGCTTTGAAAGAGTATCTTTATGTCACTTACCTCTCTCCGATACTCCTATTTAATACTTCCTCTTTTTCAATTTTATTACGTTTATGTGAACAAATGACCATATGCTGGGTTTGGTCTCTTCTTTGGAGCTTTCTCTTGCTCCATCCTATCAAACATCAGTTAGGAAGTAGCTATTAGTGGAGGCATCACCTTCCGCGTTTCCAAAGAGACCGAAGAAATTTCGAATCAATACCATGAAAACATTTGTCTCAACGACACCATTAAAGATCAAAAGGTAAATACACAAACTGTTTCGATAAAAAAGTGCATCATTTTTTAGATTCGATGTATAAAAAGTGTAAATAAATAACAACATCAAAAAAAGAAACAAAATAGTAAAAGCAAATGCTCAAAGGAATTAGTAAGCACACAACAACATTAGATGGGTAAGGCATATCATCAAATACCATATGTGCATAGTCTACTTCAATATTTGTTATTTCTTTGTCACGATATAGGGAAGACTGGCTCCTTTAGTATACTCAATTTCTGAAAAATTTATCTTCTTCGTCTGCATTGTTGCCCTTTGGAAACTATAACCTACATATATGGCTTGTGAAACAGAGATAGAGAATACGAAGCAGACAAAAACATAACAATAATTGAAAAAAGAAAAGAAGCACCTTAGGATGAAGAAGTATGTTTGCTTATGAAGAGAGAGATTGAGGGAGTGCTTCTTATAGAGAGAGATATTGATAGCTACGGAATATGCAAAGATGTATCTATGGCATAAGTGGCAGAATTACCAATTTATCCCTTAATATATGCGGAATTTCGAAACTACCCTTGGTCGACCAACTTCGGTATGCCCGGTCCCAACATCTATGTAGTATATTCAGATTTTATCTAAGCAGAGTGCAAAACAACTATATTTTCTCTTAAGCAATAAGCAGAATACAAATTACGTTGGCCTCTTAAGCAACAAAGTTTAGAGCTTGTCCAAAATTTTATCGTTAACCTTGCAATACAAATAAAACATAATTGAGCATGAGTATTTTGTGCAGTAACAGTAGCTTTTGTCATACAACATAACCGAAATACTACTTGTTTCCAATCACTGTGTCACTCGCTGTCTCTATCTTTTCTTTGTTATAGTCCAACCTAAAGTATACAATGATTTTAACAAAGAATTCCAAAAGTAACTATAAGAAAGATTGGTTACAGAAAGTAAAATTATACACTGGCACTTTGCCCATAGCAAGATTCCAGTAACTCAAATTGAGAATAAAGTGTAAAAGAAGAGCTTTGTTTGTCTTCATGAGCAGAACACATAATATGAAATGCGTATTCAAGTGCGAGAAGTATATGTACTTATATCAAAATGCAGCTAAAGCAACTATATGTTTTCATGGTCACAACAATTGTTAGTATTAGATGTAAATTCCAAATAAGCATATGAAGAAAAAGTTTCTTGTGACTTCTGGTGTTGCTGCTTCTATTCTACCTGGTGGGCGTACTGCACATTCATGCTTTAAATGTCTTCTGAAGACTCGAACTTATAAGCATGGAGATTGTGATTCCAAACATTTGACTCTACTTTCAAATGATAGTCATAGTTGAGACATATCTCCTACTTTCAACGCGAAACATATTTATTTAGTTATTTCAGAAATGCACCGCAATATATGTTTCACACTCTTTGGTACTACAGGAGTTTCACAAAGAGAGGAAACAAGTTAAAAGTAGAATATGTTTTCTTTATCTAACCTCAACCACCAAAGAGGAAACTTTATGCACATCTTTTAGCACAATGTGTCAGTAAACACAAGTTATCAGCATTTTTCGGACTTGAGGAAGGTTAGTTATCACTCATGCACATGGAACAACACCACTGAGTTGTGATCCCAAAATAAGAACTCTTTTGTTCAAACTTTACTGTAAATTTAAATACAAATAACAATGCTCCTTTTGTTATAGTTGTATAATGTATTTAAATCACACAAGTTACCACAATGTTCCAAGATATAAGAGACTGAGTTATTCAATTTGAATATACTACTTGAGCGAGTAAAGAGTTTCTTCCTTCATATATTCATATTTTGGTTATACGAAGACAGAGGTTTGTCTAATCGCTTAGCACTTGGAGAAACTAAATTAAAATTTAAAAATCTTCCCTTTCTTCTGAAGGCTTCAGATTATCTTGAGCTTTATCGTCTTACTACCATATTGATCAAATGAACTCCTTAATTACCTAACCAATAAATGGGAAAACATTCTTTAATTATAGTCCAAAAGTTGAACTACATCCTCGTACTACCACATTGAGTGGGGAAAAAAGGTCTCTGGAATATTTCAAAACTAGTCCCCGTATTCCTATAGGAGTGAACCTTGACAACTCTCTACCCATCTTTTCCTTCCCATATTGAGCAACATCTGATCTAGCAAACTTTGTACTGATGCCAGAATCCTAATAAAAATAGACAAGTTTACAAAAGTTATTCAGATGATAATACTCAAACGTAAGAATGTTAAGCTAAATGTCTGCATGTCAAAGATCTTGTTTTTTTTCCTTTTCTTTTACATTAGAATTTCCATTTTCTTAATTTTGAAATCCAGATTGAGCAGTGAACAACCATCAGAGTTTCATAGATGACAAAAGGACTCATTTTCTGAGAATCAAATAACTAGAATTCGCGAGAAATGGAAGGAGTTCTTGCATAGGATCTGGAGGCAAATTTCAGCTACAAACTGAAAGAACTGACATTATATCGATTCAAAATAGAACAGAGAAACTGATCAACCGAACATAGAAGAAAATGGAGATGTTCTTCACTTGCAAAAGTGTAGTAGTACTGCCAAATTCCACACAAAAGAGAAGTACCTTTCTTCACTTAGACATTTAAGTCCCAGAAGACAGATCAAATCTCAGGAGTGAACCATCTCAACTCACTGCAAAAAGGGAAACTAACGTGAATTGTTGTTGAGATCTACTTAGGTGCACATTATTAATTTCATATATGCTTCAGCTTCACAGTGCAATAGCCTTGACAACAAAATTTAACAAAGGGAAAGAATTAACAAACAAGCAAAAAGAAGTAGTAACAACAAATAAGAGCTACTGGAAAAAAAAACTTACATTTATCAGAGCACCACTCGTCATAATCATTAGAGGTATTCCTCATCGACTTTTATGGTGGGAATTTGAGAAATATTTGGCCAGTAATCCCCCTCCTCAAATTCTAGACTTGGTTTGAGCAATGGACAGTTGTGAATCCATAGTGTAGAGATGGAAGAGGGCATCCCTTTTACAGGAAGAGAATGGAGTTTAGGGCAATGAAAGAAAACAGCTTAGATAGGGAGGAAGGCAGCGCTGATTCTGGAAGAGGTTGGAGATTACCACAGTGACAGATATGCAGCAGAGAGAGGACGGACGGTTTTCTTTTTACTTGAAGAGATTGGAGATTAGGGCAGTTTTCAATAAACAACTCAAAGAGGGAGGCTGATTCTGGAATGGATTGGAGTTGATGGCAGTGGTATATCTTTAGGCTTCGAAGCGAAGTGAGGCGCCTAAGACCTTCGGTTTGTAGTGAATGGAGCTCATGATGATCATTTAATGTTAGATGAGAAAGACACGAGGGAAGATCTTCTTCTAGCAGTGACTGAATTTGAGGTAAATTGTAAGTAAATAGAAATTCAAGTGAGGTGAGGCTTTTGATAACTTGGCTGCTTAATGTTTTCAGATTGGATACCCAAAGACGTCGAATAGAGCAAGGCAACTCCCAATTCTCATCACCAAGAATCTCTTGGTCACTGCCATCATGGAAGATGCGTAAACTTGTGAGACAGGGAAGTCTCTGTTAGGATCGGAAACCCGGGTAGTACGGAATATAGCCAAACAATAGTATAATGGCAATAACAAAAACAATGAAAGTTGATAACAACGGCAATTAAAGTAGATAAAGAAGATACAAATTTAACGTGGTTCGGTCAAAGTAACTTATGTCCACAAGCGGAGAGGAGCAATTTACTATAACAATAAGAGTACAAAAGAGAATACAAAATTAGAATAAATACTCTAATTAATCCCAAATATCCTAAGGGAATAACCTCACAAGATAACTCCAAAGAAAGGGTTCACACAAGTGCTTCCCACTACTTAACTCTCATACAAAACACTCTTAATAAAGGAAAAAACAAGAAATGAAGACTCAAGTCTTGTTGGTGTGTCTAAAATGAACTAATGACCTTCCCTTTTATAGGCAAAAAAGTCTTGGCCTCTTAGGTGTAAAAGAAGAGATACAACTTGTGCAAATGATGTCCAACACACAATGCAATATTTTTGGGTCCCAAATAATATTGCCAATAAAGTCTACACTTTGCAAAGATGCTTATGCTTATGTGAGATGGATTCCATTAGCCAAAATATTGGCCATAATTACAAGTCTCCACCTTGGCCTAATTTTGGGTGATATAGTAAATTTTTTCCACCTTCTCCACAAAAAGCCCCAATGGGCATATGTCAAAATTTAATGCCATCAAAATCAGACAAGTTGTATGATACTGAAACTGTAGTAAGGCCTATAACAGTGGATCCCAATAAAGTATACAACGAACCAGATCTGTGTGCTTTCATGATCACAAGAGCACCATGAGAAACTTTCAGAACTCCACATTCACCTGTGTACTTGCACCCAAGAGATTCTAGAGTGCCCAAAGAGATGAGACTTTTCTTCAAGTCAGCAACATGTCTAATATTAGTGAGAATTCTCACCACACTATCGTGCTTGATTCGGACTGTACCTTTTCCAAAAACTTTACAAGCAGCATTGTTGCCCATCAAGACAACTCTACCTCCAATAGATTCATATGTGGTAAATAAATAACGATTGTGATGCATATGATAAGAACAACTCGAATCTAAAATTCACTCATTGTTAGATTTGAAACTATTATTAGTTGCTAAAAAAATAGTTCCTTCAGTCTCATCAGCAACTACACTTGCTTCGTTGCTTTTCTTTATTTTTCAGCTTATAGCATTCGAAGATATTGTGACCTTTCTTATGACAATAGCGACACTCTAAATTATTGTATCTGGATATGGAGTCGGATTTGCCCCTAACAGACAAGCCAACTTTCGCTTGAGTTCCACTAGCTTCCCTAGTAATATCATTATCTATTTGATCTTTTGATTTTAAGATAGATTTAATATACTTATAAGAGATATTATCCTTTGCATAAATTATAGTATCTCTTATATGCTTAAAAGATGGGGGTAGAGAACAAAGCAGTAACACGGCTTGATCCTCATCTTTAATTTTAGCATCTATATTACTCAAATCCATAAGAATGGAGTCAAAGGTGTCAAGATGAGAGTGAATAGTATAAAGCTTCTGCTTCAGGTAAAGTGTATTTTCCACCGTCCTCTTCATATATAAGGTTTTTAATTTTTTTCACATGCCTTTAGCTGTGGTTTCTATAGAAACTTCACGTAAAACCTCATGTGAGAGATTTAAAATGATACCTGTTTTTGTCTTTTTGTCTATGATGGCAAACTCCTCGTCCGTTATTTTATCCGTCGTCTTCTCCTTTCCTTGTAACGCCAAGTCTAAGCCATCGTGAACTAGGATAGCTTCCATCTTTAATTGCCACATTCCGAAGTTTGCACTTCGGTCAAATTTTTCAACATAGGTCTTTGTTAGAGTCATTTTGGCTATTGAAACTAACCCAGTTAGATCCGGCTCTGATACCAATTTGTTAGGATTGGAAACCCGGGTAGTGCGAAATATAGCCAAACAATGGTATAATGGCAATAACAAAGACAATGGAAGTTGATAACAACGACAATTAAAGTATATAAAGAAGACACAAATTTAACGTGGTTAAGTCAAAGTGACCTACGTCCACAAACGGATATGGGCAATTTACTATAACAATAAGAATACAAAAGAGAGTACAAAATTAGAGTAAATACTCTAATTAATCCCAAATACCCTAAGGGAATAACCTCACAAGATCACTCCAAAGAAAGGGTTCACACAAGTGCTTCTCAACAACTCTCATACAAAAAACTCTTAATAAAGGAAGAAAGGAAGAAACAAGAAATGAAAACTCAAGTCTTGTTGGTGTGTTTCCAAATGAGTAGAGAATCCGCATTATATAGGGAAGAGAAGAAAGAAATGCTTGGCCAACAATTGGCCACATCCTCTCAAAATACAAGGCTATTTATTTGGCCAACAAGGCCTTAAATAAAAGGCTCCAAATGTGCTAACAAGGCTCACAAATAAAAAGCCTAAAAATAAGGCCATCTTTTACAAATCTCCACCTTGGCCTAATTTTGGCTGATATAGTAAATTTGCTTCACCTTCTCCGCAAAAGCCCCAATGGGCATATGTCAAAATTTAATGCCATCAAAATCAGACAAGTTGTCTGATACCGAAACTGCAGTAGGGCCTATAACAGTGGAGCCCAATAAAGTATACAACGAACCATATCTGTGTGCTTTCATGATCACAAGAGCATCTTGAAAAACTTTTAAAACTCCACCATCACTAGTGAATTTGCACCCAAGGAATTCTAAAGTGCCCAAAGATATGAGATTTTTCTTCAACTCAGGAACATATCTAACATCGNCTTAAACTTATGTGAGATGGACTCCATTAGCTAAAATATTGGCCATAATTATAGTCTCTGTAAACCCCACTCCTTTCGGCCATTCACCAGTTTCTTGCAATCGATGATGTGAAGGACTTCTAAATTGAAGGGCAATCCTTCTTCAGGAAAGGACTCGATTTCTGGACAATTTTCTAGTACCAGTTTCTTCAGAGATGGAAGGAATTCTTGCATTCCTTCTGGTAGCTACTTCAGCTTCTGACTTTTGCTATTATGCAAATCATGCAATGACGTGGTCTGATTCCCACATGCCACCGAAAGTATTTCAAGATTCTCATATCTGTTAATTTCGAGTATCTCAATCCCAATGGGAATCAAAATCCTTATGAGGCGGTAACAACGCTCAATTCTCAAAATGTGTGCACTTGGGACCAACTCAGCTGGTATATCATCTATAGAATAACATCCAGCTAGTGTCAATCTCTCGAGAAACATGTTACTTCTACTAGAGATCATCTCACTAACTGACAACTCCAATTTCAATTTCTGATTTTGATATATCTTTATTTCCTTCAAGGTACTTGGCAGACTGCTAATAGGTAAGGATGTAAGAGAGTAACACTCAATAATATTTAATTTAACTATGTGCTTCATTCCCTGAAGTAGGGATGTAAACATTTCAGCATGATCAAAAAGAACTCCAGCCTTAGGAGAACCAACAACTTCAAACTCTTTTAAACCTGAAAGTTGGATAGGTGTCTCCAAATTGAGTTTAGGACATTTTAAAATTTTCAATGTTGTTAAAGAACAAAGATTTTCAGGCAACCTCCCAATCAACTTGGGACAATCTTCAATTCTGAGGTACTGAAGTGTAGAAAATTCCCCATTCCTTAATACATGCCACCACTTCCACTCTAGCATCTTTGAAAATTCAAGCGTCTCAAGAGAGTTAAATGGTTTTTTGCAAGACAAACTACTATAGAATTCTTCAGTCACCTCGGATATTAGATGCATCCCTCTAATGGTAAGGAATTTCAAAGAAGGAAGTTGTCCTAGTGCTGGCAGCGAATAACAATCCTTGCAGTCAGTAAGAGAAAATTTCACCAGTTTAAGAAAGGAATGATCAACTAGCCAATTTGGAAAATTTGTCCCTCTATATCCGATGATCTCGACTTCTTTTATGTTTGTATTTGGTTGTAACTCATCAAGTATGTCTCCTTCATTTTGTGAGTTGTCGGCAATATCTCCACTCCACTCCAATGATAACTTCTCTATATGCTCCTTTCCCCTCATGTTTGCCTTCAAAGCTTCCCTTATGTCAGCCACGCTTTGCAATTCCAGAATAGATACAGATCCATACAAGTTTTGCAATAGAATGATTATTAATGAAATATATACTAGACTCCAGATTCCGCATGTGTCTTTGAAGCTCTAGAAATGGATGCCATAACCGCATGTGAGCTTCCTCCAGTGTTTTTGAGTCTTGGTATATTGTCATCCACCTTAATTTGTTCCTTCCTAGGCTGACCGCGTGATCTCTTTCCTGCCATGGATGAGGTCGGCGCACCTTAGCTTAAACTACGCCGAGAGGATGGGGAGAGAGTTTTCTATAAAAAAAAACATATCATTGAAAGTAAAAGATTAATGATCTGTTATTATTAAAATCGTTTGAATGTTCCATAATTTATGCTTAAATTTTTAGTTTAAATATTAATTTAGTAATTTATTATAAAAAGCTCAAAATTTTATTGTTGGACCTTATAAAGTATTAAAGAAGATAAGTGGGTCTTTTAATTTATTATTATTTGACTAAATTGGTGATTGGGAATTGATTATGTTGGTATTTGAAAGTTTTATTTTAAATTTGAGATCATTTGGATCAGATTTGGGGTGATATGATCGAAATTAAAGTTGCAATTCGAAAAATACTTTGTTAAAACAAAACAAAAAATTATACCAATCGGGTATACTTCGATGAATAATTTCATAGATAGGTAAAGTAAATATATATAAATTCTACCAATCCGATAGAAAAAATCCTTGAAGAACAAAATCATGCTAGCCTGGTAGACTTTGATGAACAACTTAACAGATAAAGTAAAGTAAATAACATAAACTCTATCAATCTAGTAGAAAAATATTAAAGAGCAATAATTGTGTGCAGGTCGGGGGCTATATTTGGGACAAGTACACAAATAGTCATTCTTAGAGATACTATTTAGAGATTCACCAGTACTCTAAAAATTTTAATTTCAGGACATTTTTTCCCAAAAGTTAAACTGAAAAACTGAAATTCAGAACAAACTAGCTAACGCCTAAATAGTATCCCTTTAGAGTGGCTACCTAGTGTCACTTTCATAATTTTGGAGACATCCAGCTAAGACCAGCCCCTTAGGGACTATTCCTTTCAATCCCGCGAGAAAAAAAGATAGAATCTTTTCGGTTTCGGTCCAGAAATTTTAGAGGGCTAGTGGTTCACAATTCGAAATTAAGTGAATAATGTTGATTGCTACTATATATTTTTCACTTAAATATTAATTTTTTTCTACGGCAGAATATGTATATAACTCACGCATCACATATTATACTCTTATTACTGGACGAAAGTTGTAGATCAGTTTCAAACATTATGTGATGGAAATTGATTATATGCATTAACATTTATATGTTTAAGCAAAAGTGTTGAGTTGAAAGTAAGTTTGTTTATACATTTGATGAATACCCTGAAAGTTATTCACTTAAAAAGAGTAGTTTATCGCATGATTTTACTTCAAAAATGACCAAAATACAAGTTAATTTATGTCTCTACTCCTTTAAATGCTTTATTTCTTCTAAATTTAGTTCATATTGTAGGGAAAAATTCTTATACTACCAAAAGTACAAAAACATACAAATATTCTAAGGCATGCATACGGAAATACATATAAACAAATGTAAAAGGAAATGCTATAAAAGGAAAGATTAAACAGAAAAACAAATCCAAATAAATAAAGTATAGTCTCATTTTTGTACTCTTACAACGAAAGAGTACTCGATGAACAATCCTCTCAAATTTCAACTGAGGAGGAGAAGTTAATGTTTATTTTATTAAAAAAAAATATGTAAACAATTACGGGAAAGGGGAAGTAAAACCTTTTTACTTCATACGTGGATAAAAGTTTATGAATTTTTTATTCTCCCAAAACTTATACTCTTTTAGATCTTACCATTTGCTGTCATATCCAAGAAGTGAAGAACTGCTCTGCACCAAGTGATCTTAATACTGTCAATTATCAACTATTGTACTGGTTTTAACATACGAGTGGAATAAATATTGATACCTGTTACCCACAACGCTGCAATGTACCTCCTTTCCTTCCTAGTCCAAGAAAAAGAAATAAACTACACATAAAATCACAAGGATAAATAATAATTATTACTTTAATTCTTATAGAGTAACGTTGTTTATCTAATAGTGACTTTTAGGATTTTAGTAGTCTGAACAGGTACAATTATATAGAGAATTAATGAGGTGACTTTTCGACTTTTAAAATATTACATTAAAATTAAATTAAAATAAAAAATAAAGGGGGGGAAAGCCTAAAAAATGGAGGTAAAAGATAAATAGGAATTCTAGCCTAATAAAGTGCCACATTACCTCTCTTATGGCCTTCAATATATATAGATTAGCAAGTTATATCCTCCCGTTAGTTTTTTTGTGAAATAGAACTAACAGCTGCAACATAAATACCTTCCCTACTTTGTATATCTAAAGAAAATATAGTCCATTGAGGCAATTTCTCATATTCTAGTTCAATTATGTTCGTACCTGAACTGATAGTCCCTTCTACTTCTGCTAAAAATAGTAAAATCCTGAACTGATAGTCCCTTCTACTTCTGCTAAAAATAGTAAAATCCATTCCAAAGAGTTTACCGGCAAATCATAAAATTCAATTCTTAATAATAAAATCAAACACGTTAGAGAACCAAAAACAATGAAATCGACATACCACACGCAAGAACCTCAAAATCTATCCCTGTTCGGCGCACCGTTTATCCAAAATCAAAATTATTAAACTATTCTTCGCCCGATCAAAGCAAGAAACTAAATCCAAAAACAATAATAGAAATTGAATAGAAAGTCTGATTCATTGAAGAACTTTCTCAAACACATATAAGACCCTTATTCTCAGAGAAATACACAAAAGTTGGGGTAAAGGAAGCGAAATTCCAGGCAAAACATAACTAACCTGATAACTTTTTCGGCGAAGCACATAAACTCAGACGCAGGAGAGAAGATCGGAAGAGATTTAAGGAAAATAGAAGAGGAATTGAGAAAGTAATGAAAATCTGGAGAAAGAGTAGTAGTATGGACTTTCTTCGGAATTCTGTCGCTTTGGGCTTCACATAGAGGCAGACGTAGTGTTACGCGGCGCCTTCCTGAGATTCTTTGGAAGGGCAACGTAAGGCTGAGCAATCCATATCAGTGCGATTGATGTCCGCCAACTGAATTCCCCTCCGTACGCTAGGCTAGATTGTCAGTGTCATAGGAAAAATCAATGTGTCATCAGCAATTGAGAGAGAGCACAAAAGAGAATTGAGAATGAAAGAAAACTTGATTGCATTGAATGAAAGCTATTACAAAAAAAAATACGGTGTCGGGGGGAGAGACACCAGTACAGAAAATTGTTTGCTGGCTAGAAAGTTTGATTGCTCGGTCCCCTTAATAATGATTAGAAAACATAAACCAAAGTTACATAACTTGACCTAAATAAGCTGTAAAAGCACGCTTAAAGAAAATGCAGTAAAACTACTCTATATTTACAATGAAAAGGACTTAGTCTTCTATAAGGTAGAAACAGGTCCGCTGACAGCAACTTTGTCTTTAGCATCAAGGTCTGTGCGCGCGGCGCTATTGGTGCCTGCCTGTGGCTGGGCGCTGACGATGGCTAGCGGTGGGGCCGACCGTGGCNTGGAAAGCCGCCCATGATATTCTCCCCCACCTAAGTTGGCGACGTCATCGATGCCTTACTTGCAAGATAATCATCCAGTAGGCTCTTGTAGGCTTTGAGGTTTGTTCCCCTCTCCCAGGTATTCTCCTCAGCATCACATCCCTGCCATTTCACCAAGAACTCTTGGTGATCTTTTCTTGAGGCGTGAATCACTCGATCATCCAGAATAGCTTCAACATGCCTTTTTCCTGTTGAATTGGGACCTCGAATACTGGGTACTGTGAGTTGGCTCCGTGAATGATCCTCCATATCTTCCCGAAAAGGTTTCAATAGACTGACATGGAAAACAGGATGGATTTTTCACCAAGTTGGGGTATCCACCTGGTATGCAATTTACCCAATGCGCCTTTCAATGGACAAGGGTCTAATATATTTTTGCAATAGGCGAGGGTCGTGGACCCCTGCAAACAAGTACCGCTTTGGGATTTTGACCATCACTTTGTCTCCTACTCGGTATTCAACAAAGCGACGATTTTAATCAGTATACCTTTTCATCCGCTTTTGGGCTTTGACAAGATAGCTCAGCATTATCTCCAAATTTTGCTTCCATTCTTTTGAGAAGCTAGCAGTTCGAGGAGATTTTGACATGTTCGGTGCATTCACAGTGTGTGGGAGTAGCGGTTGCTGTCCGGTAACGATTTCAAAAGCACTTTTGTTGGTACTAAAACTCTTTTGTGAATTGAAACACAACTGAGCAGCATATAGAAGCTTCACCCAGTTCTTCTGCGATCTGGTTACAAAGTGGCAGATATATTCCTCCAGCATGCCATTGAATTGCTCCGTCTGGCCATCCGATTGCGGATGCAAACTTGAGTTATGACTCAATTTTGACCCGAGACAATTAAAGAGTTGGGTCCAAAAGTTGCTAGTGAAGCGTGAGTCGCGATCACTAACGATGTCTTTAGGCAGGCCCCAATATTTGACGACATAAGAGAAGAAGAGTCGAGTTGTTTCTTCTGCTGATATATACTGTGGGGCTGTTATAAAGGTAGCATACTTGGAAAACCAATCCACCACAACCAGGATAGTTGTGAGATCTCCGACCTTGGGTAATCCGGTGATGAAATTCAGGGAAACGCTTTTCCAAGATCTTTTTGGGACAGCTAGTGGTTCCAAGAGTCCTGCTTACGTCAAGTGATCCGACTTATTCTGGCATACTAGACAAGTCTTCACATACTGAGCGATGTCATCTGTCATTTGAGGCCAATAATATTTATGGCGAAGTAATGCCATGGTGCGTTCTTCACCGGTATGAACAGCCCACAAAGTATCGTGGCATTCCGCCAGAAAAGTCCTTCGCAGATCTCCTCCTTTAGGAACATAAAGCTGGTTCCCTTTCACTTTCAGGAAACCATCTTCTGTGTAGAACTGGCGAGTCTTGCCCTGTCCTGCCAAATCAACCAAATATTGAGCATCAAGATCCTTGATGAGTAGATCTTGTATCTGGTCTTTTATGGTGGTGGTTACTTCGCTCCCCTTAGGTTGGCGAGTAGGCACATTGATGCTAGATCAGCTCTCCGACTGAGCGCATCAGCAACATGATTAGTCTTTCCACTTCGGTACTCCAGGTTGAAGTGAAATTCTGCTACGAGTTCCTGACACCTAGCCTGTTGACCATTCAGCTTCGGTTGGGTCATGAAATGGCTAACAGTTATGTTGTCTGTCTTGACCACGAACGGGGTTCCTAGTAGATAATGCCTCCAAAGGCGTAAGCAATGAACGACAGCCAATAATTCTTTCTCGTAGGTGGCATAGCGCCGCTTTGCATCCCTCAGTTTCCGGCTTTCGTACGCTACGGGGTGCCCTTCTTGTAGCAAGACTCCACCAAGGGCATAGTCGGAGGCATCCATTTGTACCTCGAATGGCTTGGCCAAATCAGGGAGAGCTAAGACGGGGCTACTAGACATAGCCGCTTTCAATGTATTGAAGGCCTCTACTCGCCTGGGTCCCCAATCCCAGGGTGTGACCTTCTTGAGAAGTTCTGTCAGTGGTACTGCAATGAGGGAGTAATTTTTCACAAATCGCCGATAGAAGTTGCATAGGACAAGAAATGACCTCAAGGCGTGTATATCCTTAGGCGGCGGCCAATTTGTGATGGCTTGAATCTTTTGTTGGTGCATCTTGATCTGCCCTTCCTCGATGACATGTCCGAGGAATTCAATTTGTTTCTGAGAAAAGGAGCACTTGGATAGTTTCGCATATAATTCGTGCTCCCGCAATCGGGTTAGGACCTTCCGCAAGTGCTCTAGGTGTTCTTCCAATGTCTGGCTATATACCACAATGTCATCCAAGTATACCACCATGAATTAATCAATGTATTCTCTGAAGACTTGGTTCATCAGGGTGCAAAATGTGGCTGGCGCATTAGTCAAGCCGAATGGCATAACCAGGAAGTCATACGACCCATATCTTGTCACGCAGGTCATCTTGTGTTCATCACCCTCTGCAATCCGAACTTGCCAATAACTTGTCCTCAGGTCTATTTTAGTGAACATCGTCGCACCACCCAGTCTGTCGAACAAATCTGCCATTAGCGGAATAGGGTATTTGTTCTTCACGGTGATTTTTTTTAAAGCCCGGTAATCCACATAGAGTCGTAAACTGCCATCATGTTTCTTTTGGAATAGCACAGGGGACCCGTATGGGGACTTGGAGGGTACGATGATCCATGTGTCTAGCATTTCCGTCAATTGTCTCCGAAGCTCGGTGAGTTCGGGTTGTGACATTCGGTATGGCGTCAGGGCAAGTGGCTTCGCACTCGGCACCAACTCAATCTCATGGTCCACAGTGCGCCTAGGTGGGAGTCGCTTTGGCATGTCTTGTGGCATGATGTCGTCAAATTCCAGTAGCAGCTCCTTCATGGGTGCAGGAAAGGGACCCGAGGAGCGTTTTATATGTCACGACCCAAACCGATGGGCTACGACGGGCACCCGATACCTTACTCTCCCGAGTACCAACATGACATATCTTTTTATATCATACTATCATAGATAACTGAGCCGGAGAAGCTGCCGTGAGATAAGTAGAATATATCGTGTAATACCAACTTATACATATGACGTACTGGCCTATAAGGCCATACCAGTATCCGTATACATGACATTTTTCTACAAGCCTCTAAGAGTACATAAATATCATAAAGGTCGGGACAGAGCCCCGCCATACCAAATAATATATATTCAAATCATACTGACCAAATAGGCAACTCCGGAGCAAGTGGAGTGCACAAACACCTTTTTGCTGAGCTGATAGCCTACTAGAAGAACACTCAACCTGTCTATCGGGACCTGCAGGCATGAAACGCAGCGTCCCCAAGCAAAAATAACGTCAGTACAAATATAAAGTACCGAGTATGTAAGGCATGACAGTAGTATATAAAAGATATAAAAGAAACATGGAGTAAAGAACTCAACCTGTAATTTTGAATAGCTCTATGAATCATGAAAACTTATAATGTCATGCATGTGCGTATAAATGTCATATCATGCATAGGTATATGCGTACATAGCATCATCAAGCCTCTGAGGGCATCCCATCATATCATCTCAGCCACTGTGGGCAAAATCATCAACGTATACCAGCTGATTAGGTGGTGGTATGTATATAACGCCATAACCTTTTCTCATATCCCATATACATATAATATACGCGTATATAACGCCTTCTGGTCATGGGTCAATGTACATGTATAAATGCATGAAATACATAAGAAATACGTTAATAAGATTTCTCGAATAACATAAAATCAATATGTCTTTCGGATAAACTTTATCAATTACATATTTTTCTGAGACCCATGAACAGAGGATATAATAATAATTCACATGGGGAATCAAGAATATAGACATCCCTAATATTTCTATAAATAGAGTCATTTATGAAAGTTGTGTATTTGCGCGTTTCGTTTGTATCATAGAGATCATGTCAAAAGAAAAGAAGAGATATTCTTAACATACCTTTAATGACGATTTTATCGAAGGCGGTGAACTTAGCCTTCTCCACGCATAATCTCAATAAGTGAAAAAGAATCAGATTCTTTAATTAGTTACACTAGTAGATAATTTCACTCCTTAAACAGCAAGAATGCCTTCGTTGTTGCCATTATTGGTTCATTGCAAAATATACCTTCTAAGAAAAATTTTCTAGTTACAGAAGATTATCACTTTCAAGTTGTTTCCCTTCTTAGCATATTTGTACGTTATTTGTGTTTTAGTAGTAGTATAAAGCACATGTAAGGCCCACTTTCTCACCTAATTTAATAATATTTATAGGGATGAATCATAGAAAGTGATTCAAATATCACATGTATATAGCATCTTTAACAAATATCTTTTTCTTATCCCAACATTGATAAGAATGTCCCTTTATTAGGTGGGACCTACTTAGTAATACAAATTAGATTCTCTATCCCCTTAATCTTCTTTAAAAGCATCACGGTAAGCGCAAATAAATAATAAATCCATGTATAGTAATACAATTGAAAACGAAAAGTCCTTGTCTTATACTTTCAAAATTATTTAATAAACAACTCATCAT